AATATCACATCGACAAGGAGAGAGGAGACGATCAGGAGGAATATTAATACAGAACTGATACCAGATCTATACAGTACACTCTCTGACAATATATAGTTTAATTTTAAGGTTCAGTAATGTCCTAAAACAGCTGCTGTAGTTTTTATCAAACAGGAGGAAACAATATCAAAAAGGGGCAAAGAGCTGTACAGTTGTCATAAACGGGAAATTATCTGCACCTGTTTTTTTTTTATGCTACTAATACTATATATTAGCATTAAAGGGTAGTCGTGGTCACAGAAGACAATCCTGGAGACAAACTGTAGTATTCTTACAATATTCTTATTATATTTCTATGATCATTCAATATATAATAAACCATCAGACCAAACAAACAGTGTACAGGAGATGTGACTGCAGATGTTTTACTGCAGATGTTGGTGTAACCTGGGAATGGACTTCAGCTTCTCCACTGTAAAAAGAGAAAACTGATAATTATATTCAATTATACTAAATATTTGAGTTTTAGAAAGATTTGCAAACCAGATTTTTCATTATTATGATGCCTGAAAATTACAGTATACACAGTTATTACATAGTTATTACATAGTTTTACACTTTCTTTTTAATACAGATTTCGTTTCTAAAACTTAAAGATTTGTGTTTTTCTTAAGAAGAAAAGTAAATTATCATCATTATTAGTTTATATCAGAACTTGGGAATTTGAGTTAAAACAAAAACATTTAATGACAATTTTCTCAATTTGTTTTGTGTACTGATTCGAGGTAAAGTTTAAAATGTCTAAACTATTTTGCCATCTTGGCTCTTGAAGCTTGAATCAACAGCGGGTAAATTGGACGTGTTGGTTTCAGGTACATAGAGACACCAACAACAAAGACTCGTAACTTCACTTGGAGCCAGTTGACTTAATAAAAACACAAAAGTGGAAGAACTATAGATTTAATCACAATCTGTTGTAAACATGAGGTTTGCTGTGATAAGCAGCTCTCAGGAGTCTCCACAGAGAACATTTACAGACATTTTGTCCATAAATCTGTCCAACATTTCCTCAGATGAGACATTTCTGCTTCCTGCTGCGGCTGAAGTGATAAACCTCAGACGTGTTTTATTTCCACTCGGCTGTAAAAACGGTTTTTATGAGCTCATCTGATTGGATCTCGTCTGGATCTGTTCGTCTGATCAGATCTCGTCCAGCTCAGTGGAGGTAGAGAGACCATCTCTCTCTCTCTCTCTCTTATTCCCCTGTTCAGCTCCATTCATCCCCAACGCCACTCATCCACCAGCCAATCCTACATGCCGCGCCGTGACATCAGAAGTGGGTCGCCCTCCCGGATGATTGCGGTTGCTATGCCAACAGGTGGAGGTTACAATTACTTGTGTGTGTGTGTGTGTATGTTTTAGTCCCCAATAAATGGCCCAAATGAGATCAATCTAGTGTGTGTCGACATGTGGAGGGTTTTAAGCTCCCAGTCTGAACACACTGATCAGGTTTCACACAGATCATTTAAATTCTGCTCTCAGGTTGTTGTTGTTGTTGTTGTTATTTCAGGGTTTTGATATTCAGAGCAGGGACGCAGTGATGCATTTAAAGCAGTTTTATCCTTCTGTTGTTAAAGTGGCTGAAATAAAGTCAGTAAGAGACTGACTGTAAAAGTGTCTCGTTTTATTTATTTAAGCCCATAAAGGAGCTGAAATTTATGGAAGCCCATTTCTGCCAAAATGAGTCATTTTAATGAGAAACTTTAGCAAAAGATTGACGTAATATCTCAAAATAAGACCACGCCCCTCACACTGTAGGTCCCACTGACATAAAATTAGACAAGTCCACCGAACTAGATTTTCTGCCATTTTTGCTGTCACCTCCTAAACCGCCAGTCAGATCGATACCAAATCTTCTGTGGATCATCATCGGACGAAGCTAATCAATAGTTGCATAAAGCTTATTGATATCTTATTTAGTTTTCAAGATATTGACCAATGAGCTTCAAAGGGGGCGTGGCTTGAAACATAACTCGATATAAGTCAACAACCATTGGGCCAATGATAACTCTCATTGGATACGTCCATATAAGGACCTGGAACCCACCACCAGGGGGCGCTACAACTACAAACACTGGGTGTGTCATCACCTTGTTGCCGTTGGTAACCAGGTGGCACTCCCTGCTGCAGTCGTGGTTTCCGCAGGTCAAAGGTCGTCCGCAAGGTCGCGTACAGGAGAACCGCCCCCGGCGATGACACGGCACCGGGCTGACCTGATCACGGACAGACAGACGGAGTACAGACATCTTTAAACGTATTGTTTGACCTCGTCTGAAGGTGAACGAGTGTAACGAGTGCGCTGAATACCAAACAACGAAATGGGATGAAACGCAGGAGGGAATTATATGAGACAGAGGCAGAGAAGGACGAAGAGAGAGAGATAGGAGGAGTGAATGAGGAGGAGGTCAGAAGGACAAACTAATAATGGACGACGTTCGAAAAGAAAACAGGGAGGAGAGGAGGAGAGGATGGAGGGAGGGAGAGAGGGAGGGACGGAGAGAGGGAGGGCTCCAGATAAAGAGGGGAGGAAGTGATAAATCTAAACACTGAGGCAGATACATGAAGTTAGTGTGTAAATGGTGACAATCAGGGAGGAAACTAATCAGTTCTTACCTCATGTTCCCCAAAACAGGCTCTGAAACACAAACAGGAAGACTACATGTTCACTTTTATTCACATTAACTCAGTTTAATCATTGACTTCATCTCCATGTACTCTTAATGCTGCCTCATGTCAGTTTATTATATTGAATTTATTAATTTAAATCCTTTTATTTTGAACATTTTTAAGGTTTTCCATTAACTTCCATTAATCACAGTCTCTACCAAAGTGCTCATTCAGGAAACAAACAAGTGTTACTCCTGTTTCTTCACAATAAAAGCTCACATTTGCTCCCACTACAGCACACTGAGGCCACACACACACACACACACACACACACGGTGTTGGCCCTGTTTGTGGCTTTTGGCCCGAATATCCTCAACATCAACACACACTGCGTCACAGAGCTACAGGCAGCTGGCAAACACAATGTAATCCACACACACACACACACACACTCTCTCACACACACTCTCTCTCTCTCACACACACACACACACACACACACACAGCATGCAGTGTTTTTTAATCTCGGCTCTAATGATCCATGACAGACCAAAGTACCCAGGAATGTGTGTGTGTGTGTTGTTGTTGGGTGTCTGGGTACCACATGGTGAAAACAGAGAACAATTGTTTTAATGTTTCGAACACACACTGAGACTCAGACCTCCTCTGTTTCTATCCACCTGTGTGTATCTGCAGGCTGTTACAGGCATACTCATACTAATATATTAACATCTAACCTCTAATTTAATGCTACTTAATCACAAGTGCAGTAAATAATGTCTGATGGGAAATGTAATAATATTAAATAGTCTAATATTGTGTGACCTCTAACAGTGGTTCCCAATCTGGGGGTAAGAAAACTGCACACAGTAGGCCAATATCTCTGCAATTCATTCATTTATGTGAAGAAAACTAAATGAAATTGTTCTTTTTAGATGATTATTTAAGATAGAAACAGGATTAGGGGAGAGTGAAGACCTGAACACAAGCATTAAAACAACCAGAGAGACAATGAGAAGAAAACACTGAATTTATTAAGAAAGAGGCCAATTAAGTCTGTATGATTGTTGAAATCAGGCAAACTAATCTCTGATTAACATGCACAGTAAATAATCTGCTCAAAATTCATCCAATCACTCCTTTTACACAAACCTCCTGCAGTTATCGTGTTGTTCTGAATATAATATGAAATATCCAGAAACTCACTAAACAAGGGGTCGTCTGTTTACTTAATGTTAGAAAACGGGAAGTGTATTAGTGGTAAGTGGTATTTATTAAGGTTCCAGTCTGGGGTCTATTTTATCCTGTAAATGACTTAGGTAAAAACACTGAAGAAAAATACACTTCTACGCTGATGAGAGTGTAATTTATACTCATGCTCTCGCTGTAGCACAGTTACAGAGCTTCAGACTTTATTTCATTACAAACTTCTCTCTGAAGCTCGCTTACAGTTAACGGACGGTATTTAAATCCATTGACAGGGTTCCCTCGCTCAAGAACCTGGGTCTATGGATCTATATTCTAACTCTATCTAGTAAGGAAGCTCAAAGGGAAAATTGGCTGAATTATTGGTGAATTATTATGAATTATTGTTTTATTAGGTGGTTCCAACCAGACCTGTATTTGGTTTTAATGAGAACATTAATTAAAAGGTAATTCTGTTCCAATAACGTGTTTTTTGACCTACGTTGGTATCGGTACTTGACATGGCGGACAGGGCAGAGCTTTCTTCACAAAGGCTGGTTCAGACGGCTGCTCCCACGGACCCGCTAGCTGCACCTAAAAACACACACACACACACACACACACACATTAAGAAAACATGCAGAGGTTCTCTAAACATCAGCATCATTACTCTGATAGGAAACAGGAAACATCACTTTATATAACTGATGACACAGATGGAGTCTTTTTATAATTTCTACTCTTTGTGCCACAAACATCCTCCCTGTTAAAGCAACATTGACGAAAAACTCACATCTTTTATTAAAGTAAAAAAAAGCACTTCTCAGAATCATATTAATGGATTATAATTATTGATGCAGGGCTCCCACTCTTTTTAATAAATCATTTTCCAGGAGTTTTTCTTGACTATACAGGACAGTTATGTAACCAGGAGGTCCAGTATTGACCCATTTAACCCCAGTTTTGTTCCTATATTTCCTATACATCCTATACATTCCCTCTGACCGTAACATTAATGTGAGCACAGCCTGGAAGTAACTGTTCAAATTAAGTATTTCATTTCACAGAAAAACCTTTTAAAAGGTGAAAGTGCATCGCTGAAACAATATACACCCTCAGGTTTATAAACGCGACCTGAGTGAGGGGCTATAAGACAAAAATAGAATTTTTCAGGACAACAGAGATTATTTTGTTAGAAGATATTTGGTCATTTTAAATAAACTTCCAGGTGTCTGCCTCACGGTGGATCGGTGGAGCTCGATTTATTCTGAGATGAACAGACTAATGTGCTGTAACTACCCTCTTCTATCTCTTGTTCTTTGGTTAATTTATCCACCCGACTGTATTTACCTGCTCGTTTTAAGCAACGCAGCTCAGCGTTCACTAACTTTGGGTTTAGCTTTGGAGCAGCTGGTAGGTGGATGTTGTTCCCTGTTTCCAGTCTTCATGCTAAGCTAACAGCTGCTGTCTACGTACCTGTTGGGACTTGACCAGCACCATGTCGTGGCAGGGCTGCGGGCAGGTGTGGCTGCAGCCGGGCAGCAGCAGTAGGCAGGGCTGTCTGCAGGGGGGGCAGGGCCCGGGGTGGCACCGGTGGGTCTCTCTGGTCAGGTGGTGGCAGGATGGAGGACTCCTGCAGGAGACAGAGTACGTGTTAATGAGAGTCAGTGCTGGGGGGGCTCTGATGGGAGGCGGCGGTCCCGGGTTTGTACCTGCAGGTCTCTTTGCAGCGAGGCGGTTTGGTGCTCCGTTCTCGCCCACAGGGGACGGCCAAGCCGGTGGAACCACATGTACACCTGACCTCCACCGACTCCGGACAGGGATAACAACTACCTGAGGGACAGGTGAGACACAGTTATTTATCTGGAGGAGTTATTTCAATAAGGACACTGAATGAGGTTTTATTTTCTTACAAGATCTCCTATTAGTGTGTTTCCAATCTGAGTGACAGAGGACAAAATCTACAGCTCTCAATGTGCAAAGAGTTGTTCTAAAGCAGAGTTTTCTCTTTCTCTTTCTCTTTTTCCCAGCGCGTACCACCTCACTTATTATTTATTGAATGGTTCAAGAACCAGAGCTAATCTGGTGGAAAAGGGATCTTCCTGTTTCACACTGCTCCTCCCAATAGTTCCAGTTTGGAGCCATGACTACAGTGTGTGTGAGCCATTCATCTGACCTCCGCCCGCTGTCTCAGTTCAGCTCCGTACTGATCATGGATGTATGATTTGGGGTGTAAACAACCCTGGTTGAGTATTTCCTGTCAGTTTGCTAACACTGTATCCCTGAATAAGAGTCTGTCTGTGTTCTGTCACCTGACGCTCTAATGAAGAGTCCCATCAACATAACACACTGAGTGTTGAGGGGCAGATAAAGAGTGTGTGAGCTGATAAAACCTTCACTCTGTGGTAGAACCAGGGTTAAGAGCCAGTGTTTGGCTCCATGTTGGATCCCGTTCTCAAGTGTTAAATAACTCAATACTAATAACTAGTTTCTTCTCCGTGGCAACAACAGCTGAGACTCATGAGTGTCGCAGCATTCAGAGCCGTTCAAAAATATCCAGGAAACCTTTATTTTGAAAAGCGATCATTAAGAGCCGATCGGTTTGTTTAATAAACACTGTGTGAGCTAAAAGATTATTTCAACACACACACGCCTCAGTGTCGGCTGTTATCTGCGTTGGCGGCGGCGCGACCTTCTATCTGTTACGCCCTGAAAGGTCAGAGCAGCCAATCAGCACGCAGAAGCACAAATAAATCAACTTTAATCTATTCCGCCAATCACGAGGCAAACGGACGCATAAATTATCCTTTAATCGCCTGATCGGGGAACAATAGACGCACACACACACACAGACACACACAGGCAACACAAACGTCCTTTAAATACAGCGGATATAGATGTTTTGACAGGAAGCACAGAGGTAACTTTCGCAAATCACAGTCGCATTCATCTGGTGTGTGTGGTGTTGCTGTTGTAGACAAATGTCACACACACACACACACACACAACACACACCACAGCAACACACCCCGACCAACTCACACAACCACACTCTTCAGAGTTGGTTATGCGTCTAGACATATTTCTGAGATTTGACCTTTGCCCTTTCCACAGCTGGTGACTCGTCAACAAATCACAACAAGGTCTGGAGGTACAGATTGGATGTGATTGACTCTGTGTGTGTGTGTGTGTGTCTTCACAATAAAGTTCAGGTGCAGCGTTTTATAACCTCAGCTGATGTTTTCAGACTTAAATGGAACATGAAGCTTTCTGTCACAGAGGGAGCTGTGTGTGTAATGAGGAGGAGGAGGAGGAGGAGGAGGTGACGAGGGACAGGTGTATACAGGTGTTCCTGTCAGCGATGGAGCTGCAGCAGCGACACACAACTCATCAAGGAACACTTGCTGCAAGTTAACCAGTTATAAGTCAGAAATCTGACGACAGACATAAAACAGACACTTTTAGAGTCAGTGTGATTTATGCTTCCTGAGGAGGTCATTACTCTGATCTTCATCACAAATAAACAGCCATAAATCCACATTAATCCACAGTAAAAGAAGCTGCCAGAGAACAATCCCACTTTTATGTGTTCTTCAGTATCGCAGTGATCCAGTGAGAGCGTCTGTGCGTCCATCAGTTCACTAACGGACCATTAGGCTCCTCGTAATGAGACTGAAGGGAACAAAAACAGCTAACTCACAGACTCCAAGGCAGCTTCCTGTTTACTTCCTCCAAAGCCCCCGAAATATACAGAAATAAACACCTGAATATGAATAACGTGCGTCAGAGGAAGGACTCCCCCACACTGTCTCACTCACTGCTGGAAAAACATTTTACTTTTTATTTCATTCTGCTGTGAAACGTTGTAATAAATGAGATGTTTGAGATCCAAAGCCCCAGAATGACAGGAGTTCTGTGGAGTGAGGACGCCGGGTCGATCGCTGCGACCGACCAGCGTCAAACAGCACCGAGCAGATCGCAGTGTCGAAGTCAGACACAGAAACAGCATACAGAATACGGTGGATTTTCAAAATAAAATACTGCTACTACTCCACACTACACCAAAAAAGAATAAAATAACGTACTGACCCCCGGTAGAAACACTGATAAAGGAAAAACAACAACATACGATTGATTATCAGCATTATTCCGATTGTCTGTATCCATAATTACTTTATCCAATTGCCAATAAAATAATGTAAGGGTTAGATATTTTGGCTGTGATGCCGTCAGTAGCCCCGCCCACAGGAACTCATTCATTCTGAATTCTGACACCAAGATGTTCATTTTTATGACCAACGCTTTTCCTTGATTACCAATAATCGGTATCTGTATCGACCCTGAAATAAATAACGCGATATTTTCAGAGAAGGTTAAATCTCGTACTGTGTGTGTGTGTGTGTGTGTGTGTGTATGCGTTACCTTGGTGACAGCCGGAGGGACACTTGTGGTTGCGACACCCCAGAGTCCGACCACAGCTCTGGTCGCACGGAGGGCAGTTACCAGGGCAACACTGTAACACAAGGCATGGTGGGAGTTTAAACAGGAGGACGAAGATGGTTAACGCCACAGAGACAATCAGCTCGGTGCGTCCGATAAGAGCCGCGCCGCCGCCAACCTTTAACGATCAGATTACCGTCGGATTAGACGCCATCGCTCTGACATTTACACACGAGGAAGATAAGGAAAGCGGCGAGGAACCGTCGCACCACGCGTGTGTTAGTGTCTTTAAACTACCAGAATGCATTGCTGCTCACATAGACAATGAATGGAGAGCGTGGGCTGTTTTCTATAAACTGTCAGTAAACACTGGGTCGGTTTATTGACGACAGCTGTGATAATCAATGAATTATTTATGATATTAATCAGTCTGTACTGTGAGGATCTGGTGTTTTAACAGACCAAATGAATCAGTGAGTTCTGACAATGACTAACTGATGGAGCAATAAACTGACTGGTACGTGTGTACTGATGATGAAGATGATGCACTCACCTTCCTCCTGCACTGGTGTCTCTGGCAGCTTCTGGTTTTTGGACATTTGGAGTCACACAGGTATTCTTTATGACACGGCATCAACTTCCTGTATTTACCACACCTGCACTCCTTCTCCACCTCCTGTCACACACACACACACACACACAGAGAGAGTCAGTGTGTGTGTGTGTGTGTGTGTGCGCTCACTGGTCTTGCCGCAGGGACAGGATCTGCTGACGGAGCGAGGACACGGGGGACAAACTCCATCGTGACACACAACCTCACAGGTGTGATTCCCACAGGAGAGCAGAGAGCCGCATACCTGGAGGAGGAAGAGGAAGAGGAAGAGGAAGAGGGGGAGGAAGAGGAG